ATAGGACAAGGAGAACAGGAAGAAACACAAGTGTGGATCATGGGGGGGGGGTGACCATATATATATATATATATCTCTGGAAGGAAAGAAAGAAGGAAAGAAGGAAGAAGCCGACCTGCAGCATACGGCTGCGGCCTCCCACACTCTTCCCCCGCCGCATCTTGGGGGGGCCTTCGCAAACATCATCAGCCCCCTCCGCGGAGGGTTATAGAGGGGTTGAATTACTAGATCTTAGTTGGGTGTGCGGAACCCGAAGGGCAAAAAGTCAAGCAGGGAGCGTGGAGTGGAGGGAAGGGGGCGTGGGGGAGGCTCAAAAGGCCCAGAGTAGGGTTCTCGACCCGAGACGCCAACGGATGTGAAGCGTTGAGCAGCATGCCCTCGTGGCGTTGGAGTTGAGCTGGGGGACATACGAGGGCAAGGCGGTTGAAAAGTACCATTTAAGAGCACCTGCAGGTCTGCGGCTACGCCCGCCACCAAGAGCTCCGTGACGAGTGCCTCCAACCAAGCGAGAAGCACAGAAGCTTACGCGTTCGCAGGTGCTGCGCACCACCAGGCTGGCGTGGAGGAGTCGGTGGAAGGCAGCATCCTCCCGATGCAGGTCGGCAGGGGAAGCAGAGGACCATAACCGAGGATGCCTCCAAGCACCCATCGCAGGCGAAACACGTGGTTGACAGGCGCTGCCTTACCGAGGCAAGTCTGGCAAGGAGGTCTTCACGCGCCAGTGTGTGCCTGTCTGAGGGAGTACCACGTTTGCCAAGCAGCTTGTCAACATCTTGAGCGGTGGAGCGAGGCAGCTGAAATGCGCGTATCCGGACCAGATGTCCCAACTGCTCACGGTCGCGCCTGCGGCGGTCACCCCGGAGTCAGCTGGGAGGAGCAGGAGGCAGTTGTCCCAGTCCCAGGCGAATATGTATATATATATATATACATACGTACAGTCTGAATTCACAATGCGGGCTTGTACATTGGATTTTGGTGAGTGGCCTATCATTTTCCAAGCCTTGGTGGTGGATGGATTTGCGTTCTCTGGTAATACAGTTTTAGTACTGGAACGGCCGTCTCTGGCAACTAGATGGATCTTCGATCTCTGGTAGTACAACTTTAGTACTGGAATGGCCGCCTCCGGCAAGCGAATGGATTGTCGTTCTCTGGTAGTACAACTTTAGCACTGGAACGGCCGTCTCCGGCAACCGGATGGATTTTCGTTCTCTGGTAATACAACTTTAGTACCGGAACGGCCGTCTCCGGCAACCAGATGGAATTTCGTTCTCTGGTAGTACAACTTTAGTACTGGAAACGGCCCCCTCCGGCAACCGGATGGATTCTCGCTCTCTGGTAGTACAACTTTAGTACTGGAACGGCCGTCTCCGGCAGCCGGATGGATTGGTGATACAACTTTGTTCCAAAATGTGTTTTTTGAAATTTCGACCTGTCGTTCTTGCTGAGTGGCCTATCGTTTTCCAACCCAAAATGATGTTTCCAAATCTTCGTGTCGGTCCCCTTTTCACCCTAGACCTGGATAGAAAAGACCGCTTCATATAGACATGTGGGTGGCCCGAAAAACGGCCTTTGATTGGGCACCAGAAAAATTGTGATCCATACCCTCTAGAACGAGGGGGTTGATCTATACCCCTTGGATCGCTGTATGTCGCTGCCTATGAGCTTTGAACGAGAGGGTATGGAACGACAAAATGGTTGGATCGTTCATACCCTATATGGATCGGGATATGGAACGGATGTCTGCGCGCACCCTATTCCATACCCAAACAATTTGAAACATTTTGCGACGCACCCACATATTTATGCACATACTCTATGATACACCCTACTCCCCCCCCCCCACGCGCGCGCGAAACCCGCGCCTAAAAGACTTTGTCTGTTGAGCATAGTCAAGTGCAAGACTGTCCTAAAAACAATCCTGAAGGCAAATGTCTGCAAAAGCCAAACCTTAAGCCTGAAAGATCTGAAAGTGCATGGCGCCAACTGTCCCTGGAACCTAAGAACCTCCAGCCCTGCATCCCTTGAGCAGCCCAAACCCCGCCCGCTGACAGCAATTCGTTGCAGCCGCTCGCTGAGGGCGGTGTGATAGTCCAACTGCAAGAAGAGCGGGGATGAGTTCTATTCACATCCTGCATTCCTGCGAACATTTGCTTGATCCTCAAATAATACCGAGATGAGCTGTGGTTACGGTCCTGGTTATGGAGGAGGCAGGCTGTGGAAGAAACGCCCGTAGTTACTCAAGTCCGGAGTCCAGAAGCCCAACTAGCTTGAAGCTTAGCGCATCAAAGCCTGCACCCTCAAGCCCTTGTCCAGCTAAGATTGTGCAGAGTGCAGAGTATGGCAGGTTTGCCAATGCCAGGTGACTGCTTTTGCCGTGCCGTCTAGGCTGGTGTGGCTATGGCGTATTCTCGACACACAATCAAAGCCCAGGACCGCGGATCGGCACACGCCTGCTCCAGCGTTTTTGGGCGGTGCTTGTCCACCCAGAGCATGGCCTTCGGCTCAGGTAGAACCAGAAATTGCAATCCTTCATGAAGACAATCTAAAGATTCATATCCGTCTAAAACGTGTCAGGCAACCCCAAACTTAAACACCGAGCATTTCTCCGAACGAATGTAGCAAAGCTGAACACTGAACCTGGATTTGCGCCACAGCCACTAACGCATGTTTCTTGCCACAAATCTAGACCCAAGCCTTCTCCGTTTTTAGTGCATGCTTACGTTTTCAAGATGTTCGACTTGCCAGTGACATGTCACCGAACGCCACGCGCAACTCTGCACCAAATCTTCAAGTGCGTCTCTTCTTTAGCCTCTGAAAGCACTTTAGCCTGATACCCTTGGTCAACACTCGCCGGGCAGACCATGGTCTTCGGGCCAGGTGAGCACCTGCGGGATCAACTCTTCTGACAGCAGCTAGACAATGCTAGAACAACACTTCAGGGGCGCACCGAAATGCGGTGCCCTTCCTGGAACTGCCCGCTCGGCCGCAAGGTCAAAGCTGCAAGAGCCAACAGTCGCGATTTGGGCAGCGATGCTTTCCCCAGCACAGCATGGATTGCGCTTACCAGTTCACTGCGAGCAAGAAGCATTGAACACAGAAAAAAGCCTGCTGGAAACCTTTCTGTTGGCTGCATGCCGACCCTTGAGCTACCCATTTCAGCTTAAACCTTACTTCCGCCTCCACGTGGGAAAATATCATTGGCCTCCGTAGCGGAGATGCGTGCTAGAAGCTTGAAGCTGACACTGCACACTGCAGACTTCTACCGTATGACATTGTATGAAGGCGTCGGGCTTTTGCTTCGAGCTGGTCTCCCACCTGCCCATTGGGCATGGTCGGATGTGACTGGGGGGCCGGGGTGCCCAGGAACTGTTCATGGGACGGCCTGTAAGAGACATCTACAGCTCGGTGGGCAACAAAGCAAACCTGCTTCTCGCATCTGGATCTCTGGCCCTGGGACCCTGGGACTGGGGCTTCTCCACAGAAGTGGACGTCTTGCATGACCCTGCCGCGTCTTGCAGCAAAGGCCACTGAAAAAGAGATGGGTCTTCCATCGCTTGATGGATTTGCTAGCTATCCGTTAAATGCAAACACGGGCCGACACTATCCTCATGCCCTCACACCGCCGACAGAGCTGCATTGTGCATTTTTCTACTACAAGTAGCATCTTGCAACCCTACAACGCGTGCCGCAGTGCATCGTACTGATTGCATAGTCTGATCTCTAGACAGCAAAATGACATCTCCTGGTCCTGCGCTAGCATTAGTTAGCGGCTCCTAGATGTGTTCCAGTCATTGGAGCTCCGACTTGTCCGCAGGCATTAAGACTAGTGCACATTCTCTACCCAAGTACGTGCACGCGAACAATCAACTGAATAAAGAAATCTATCATCAAATTCACAAAAACGCAACGTTTGGCAACGCGAACTCATCAAGCGAAGACCTTGGGTGGTGGTGGAGGGTTGCGCAAACTTTGTGTGCTGCCTCTTGAGGGGTGAAACAACCACTGCTCAAGCAAACCGCATGTCAAACGAGACTGTGTTTGAGGAGGTGTCAAATTCTCACTTTGACAAGCAGTCAGATGACCGATCTGAGCTTGTTCGTGGTGAGTCTCTTTTTTGCTTCGCGATGATTCATGGCTCCATGGCTGCGAGCTTGACACGACGCGTCTCTCACTTTGCCCGCGGCGCAGTCTGGCACTGAGACAAAGGAAGGCAGTTTGTACGGTTGGGCAGAAAATCAAAAGGCTGCTCTACGACCAACGGAACTTAAGCTCCCGGTTGTATCCATCTAATATTGCTCTGCATACTTCTGCCCTGCTGACTCCAAGCCCACCAAGGACATCGAATTGCTTGTTCAAGCAGCCTATCCAGCCTAATCAGCTTGAAGGGCTACCAGTGGCGAACAAGAAGTGCGAGCGCTCCTGCTGCGAATCCAGGAGCTTCAACAGGTCCAGGAGATACTGCGCAGCCTGTAAGCAAGCGTTTTGCAATCTTCGCGTAGATAACGGGGCGGGAACCCAGGCAGGCTTGTGGTGACGGAGGAAAACTTCAAACGAGTCTGCGAAAGGAGCGATGGCAAAGGACATCCGCTGTCCCGCTGAGGACTGATGCCTCTGTCTGGTCCGCGGCCACGAGGGTCACTCGGCCATCGGGGCCTGGACAGCTTCAGACCAAAAAACTCACAGCTCCAGGATAGACAAAGCTTCTTAGCGTCTCTGCTGTGGTAGAAATAGTCTGCCTGCCTTGCTTGCCATGGTTTGCCTGTTCTATTGATAGCCTCAGCCTTGCCTCAACGTTTGCCTGGCAAGTTAGCCCAAGGCAAGCTGAGCTGAGTACATGCACGTTGCCAACAATTGAGCCTTTTACGCAGTGGCAGACCTGAAAAGTCCGGATGGCTGTCACCGGAAGCGCTACGCATGATTGAATTTAGGCAGAGGTGCAACAGCAAGGTGTGCTCATTTCTGCCAATAGCAATTGAGAGCTGAACAGCTTGATGACAGTTCAGGCACTGTAGCTTGTGAGCAGACTTATCTGTCAGATAGCACCAACCAGCTGCAGCGTCTCTCCCTCACCCAGATGCATCCCGTGTTTGATCATCTCGGCATGCTGCAGCCCCTTACACCCCCCTAACCAGTTTTCATCCACAGTGCTTGGTGACGGCTTGGCACTGGAAATGCCACACGAGACTACAGCTCAGACTTTGTGACTGCGAGATGAAAACAATCGTCACTGGCAACCTGACTTCTCCGTGGCGCAGCCGCAGCCCTCTGGTACAACGATGTACGCTAAGGCTGCTTCAAGCGCATGGCAGCTGAACCCCTGGATGCCTTGCACGCTCTTCTGCAGGATGGACATAACCAGTGTCATCGCAGGTCCTGCCTGGTGAGACGCAGGATGCAATCGCAACGGAAATCCGTTCCGCGAGTGAACAAATCTACATCACAGACTGGCTCGAGCAGAGTACTCGCTTGCGGCTATTTCGACCAGAGATTGCGAATGCCCACTCTTGTGGCTTCGGGTAAAAAAACAGTTGAAGTATTTTAGACGAAGTTGCAAGATTGGTACTAATCTTGAATGGTGCCAGGGCTAGCGGCAACTGCCCGTCAGCATTACTTGCTGGTATCTTGTGTTGAAAGTTCGAGAGATGTAGGTCGCATTCCTCGCCAGCGAGCAGATGCCCTGCGAGCCGCTGCAGATCATCAGCCTTAGCGTGAGATGCGGCTGGTGTTTGGAATCAAATGAGGCCGTGAGAAGGAGCCGGCCGGAGAGAGAGAGAGAGGCCTTTCACCTTTTGCTCTTCTAGCAATGTTTCTTCTCCACAGAGTCAATGCGCAAGGATGGCTCTGGATACCGGCATCACTTGCATAAGTCATGCGCTGTGAGCATGTCAATAGCAAACTGGCAACCGTCAAAATCAAGAGTATCATGCTTACAACTTCCAGAGCACGACGTTTTAAGTGCCCGAAGCTCATCCCTCATGTCTTTTGGCAGGGGGCCCGCGCCTGGTTGGCATCTTGCACGGGTATGTTGAATTCTGTTCCAGCCCTTTCCTCTCGGCTGATGCACAACGACGCTTGGTTCTTGTTGATTCTCATTTGGCTGTGCAAGTTTTGTTGCCCTCGCATTGGAAACACCAAAGCTCGAAACCCTGCGCGAGCAGGTTTTTGCGGCATGCGCATATGCTCCCTGCGCGCCGACATGGTGCTTCCAAGATGTCAGTCCGAGTCGGTCCATGTTGAAAAAATGGCGCTGATTCAGGAACCACCGTCACTAAATTCTTCAAGCATCTTTTCAAAGGACCGTACCGGAGGATTGATGAGACTCGCCTTGCCAGGATCTGCAGCTCGCACAGACCTGGAGCAGGTGGAGCAAGCGTCTAAGCCAAGGCTTATGGGCTTAGGGGCCCGAAAAAGGAGCCAACGTCAACTTGTCAGCATCTAGTCCAAGCATTGGCTGTTGCCAGGAAAAGGATGTAGACATACTTTTTTGCAGGGCTTGACAGGTTTGAGCTCTGGGCCTGGAGTGAGCCATGATCGTCGCCATTATGGGGTTGACGCCCTGCGGCCAGCATGAATTCTCAATGTGCAGCAGGACTGTGGAGGTTAAGGAGAGGAAACACTTGCAAAAAGAAGCGGTTCTAGCAGAATCGTAGCTACAAAGCCAATCCCCCAGCCCAAGCTGACCATGGCCTGAAGCTTCTCAGAAGATGGCGCGTGCGCCTGCCTTGCTTGACTGAACATTTCGACGTTCAGACTGGGTTGTAGCCTTTGAAGCCCCACTCCAGGATTCGTGCTTCGATTCAAGCACGCATGCTGCATTGCACTTTCTGGGGGCGCGGGAGAAAGTATGCATGCTGCCTGCTCTCTCAAGAAAGGGAAAATGTTCCCGCGAATCTCCAAAAGTCCACAAAGCGGATCGAAAGGTTCAAACTTTTTGTTTTTTTCGCAAACATTCTCAGAGTCTCAGCATCTGACAGATCCACGTGGAGGTCCTTGGGCACTGCGTGGCCTCCGCCTCCGCCTTTTCAAGCTCAGATGGCCGTAGACTGTTTCCTCGCTACGCATTGACATCTGCCCCTGCAAGTTTGCCTCATGAGAAAACGGGCGACGCCACACGAGCAAACGACGTACCAAACAAGCATGCGAGATTTTGCAGAACGAGATGATTGCGGTCCCAACTCCACGAGCAATGGGAAATCCCATGCTATGATTTGAAGCGTCGAGCTGTAACCTTTGTATCCAAGAGCAGCCTGAAATCCCAGGCCTGCAAGTGCTGCCTGAAGCACTTGGATCGTGTTCTGTGGGTCGGAGTCTGCGGATGTTGCAAATGGCAGCAATTCAGAAAAGCTTAGGGCCTTGGGGTGTAGGACCAGGCTTCCTCTTCTGCGAAATGTTGTGTAGGCAACTCTTCATGTTGGGCTTAGGGTTAACTGGCAAAATTGCGCTGTGCTGTCAGGACCTTTCGACAAACGTAATAGCTTGGCCACAACCTGCTATATCGTGCGAAGCCATCTGCGCCGCAAGCGATCGCAAGATATCGCGAGCGTGGTAGTCGCTGGCTGTGAATTTTAAACTTTGAGGAGCTGTAGTCCCGAACATCCATCACCGGACTGCCAGCCCGAAGCAGCAGCCATCAATGGCAAGTACATGTCATGTCTGGATTCTGGCTTCACATCGTTCTGCTCTGAAGGTCCAGAGCTGCACTCATGCTCGGAAATTGTGATCTGGGTAGGCAGATTACGAAATGCTAGTGCTATCTGTAACCTGGGTTATTACCAAAGACTATATACATATATATATAAGTGTATAATATATATATATATATATAATTATATATATATACATATGTATGTATACAGGGTATTGCCCGGTCACAACTTGGGTCTTTCCGAGACCAAGCGCAGCTCACGATTTGCCAAAAAATCTGCAGAAGCCTTGCGACTTCACGGGCGGCGATGCGCACCGCTGTAACGGCAGTTGCCTTAGAAGTTGAGGCCAGCAGTCTTTCGAGTGGTTCCAGGAATTGGACGGAATTGGACTTTGCAGCTTACAGAAGGTGCCTTTTTCCGGCTGGTCCTGCCTCGCACCTGACTGGCTCCAGCTTCTTGCTAGCGGGTTACAGGCTGGCCCTTAGTGGCATTGGCAGTCTAGCGGCGGCGAGCTGACTGGCACTTGGGAGTCACGGGCAAGCTATGGACTCATCGCTGACTAAAGTCTTAGGTCTCGTTCCCAAAGTTGGTCTGCAGACTGTGGCCATCCGAATCTGTTCTTGATCTATTCCGATGCTTGCCATGCTGTCAAAGCACTGGACCTAAAAAGCAAGGCTGGCACATAATTTCGCTCCTCGACGAGCGATCCTACCATAACATACGAAAACCACGCAAAGTACGAGCATGACTCACACGCAGGAGTGTCCGTTGTCTGACGCATGCCTCCGAAGAAGCGACACAAAATGTGCAGAAGCATTCACGATGGCTAACGGAGTGCAAGCCACCTAATCTGCACAAGCTACGAGTAAAAATCATCTGAGCTGCTCGGGGCTCGCCGGACTGGCACCAGTGGATGGAGTGTGTGGCATGCTGTTGAGGCTGCCACCTGAGCTGCAGGACGAGCTGCTAAGATTCCGGTCCTAGCAATGAGGAAAACCGCAAGGCAAGATATCAAGGTTTCGAAGCATCAGCCTGTAACCAGCTTGACTTCCAAACCGCCCGCTTCTGACAACTTTAGCACCAGGCGAGGTACTAGCAAGTAGCCACTACAGCCACTACTCTTAAACTGTTAACTAGTTCTGGGACAGCGAGAGTGAAAGGTCTCCACAACACACGGCCCTGATAGGTTGGCTGATTCAGCGTGGATGCGATGATGGGAAATAGCTGTTGGAAATGCTTGCAGCTTAGCGGCCCGTACCTGTGGCTTTGGAGGGAGAGGAGGCAGAGGAAAGCGACTGCCTGCTCGTTTCTGTTTTTTCGCAGTAGGTCACGGCTACGGCTTAAACTTGGCTCCAGCGAGGGGTATCCTGTCAATGTCCTTCAATTCACTGCTGACAAAACTTGTCTACGCTGGACGCATGGCCCTAACGAAGACTCATTTTATGGGCAAAAGTTGCGCTAAATTGCTGGTGCAAGTTCAGCCATTGGACCGTTGGAGCGGTCTATCAAGTCTATCATGCCATGCACCTACTGCTTGTATAGCACTTTGATTGAATGCCAAAAGTGCAGATCTTGCAGAATCTTGCTTCGCATGCTTAGGCCAAAGATCAGCGTGACGAGTCCAGCCTCGACTTGCCTCTCGCCTGGCGCAAGAGTTGAAGTCCCAATGACTGTCAAGCTCTTGGGAAACACTTCTGCCTTGCTGAAACCAGCTACACCTAGCGTTTTCACGGCAGCAGACGGAGTACAGACAGCTACGAACCAACACCATCCAGCTGCTCGATTCCAGCACCAGCATGCTAGAGCTGCAAGCTTCAACCAGCAAACATGCACAGCCAGCGGAGCTCGTCATTGAAAAGTATCCGCATCAGTCACGCACTTGATACAACAAGGCTCATCTGGAGTCAGGTCTACCCTTAGGAAGAAGGTAAGTATGCATGCAAGCAGCAAGCTCCTTCTTGAACAGTATCATGCTATACATAGTACAAGCAAAGCCAACTGGGGAAAGAACACCAAAAAGTTCTGGCACCGGCCTCTGCCGAAACCCGCATCCTCTGCGTCTCTGTCAAGGAGCTGACAGCCTCGGCAGCTCCAAGCGATAGAACGGCTCCAATAAGCACTTCATAGAGCTGTAGCCTCGGAAAGAAATGTCGCTGGAACCTTACTTGCCACAAGTAGTGCAAATTTGGCAGGGATTGCTGCTGAAGGGGATTGAAGACCACTCAATGTGCTTGGTCTCTGCAACTGGCAGATGGAGGCTCGCAGTAGGTGAGTAAGTGCAGTTTTGCCAAGAATGGAACCTCACTTGACAGCAGAATGTCCTGTCGTGTGAGGTTACGACCATTGGGCATTCAAAATGTTTCAGCCCAAACCCATTTCATGCACCGCAGATTAGCTGCCAGCAAAATTTGTTTTTGCTACGCAGAAGAAACGCAACATAGGAATCGGACCCCTTCAAATGCGAGGAACACTGCTATTCCTGCTCAACGGACGTACTTACAGATCCCGTGGCTGTTGTTGACCGGGCAGGATATAATCGCGATTTTTACTTGTTGTCCGGGCTAACGGTCATTGGACAAATTTTCCAAGATTCGGGGTTTGTGTTGACGTTTTCGTTTTGGCGAGTGTGTTTTTGCTCTCCACTCAAAGGCACTCTGCGAGGAGTCCAATGACCATCCCATTGACAACTGGTCCCACAACGCATAACAACCGCGCATCATATATCATGATATCACACAAGTTTGCCTTGCATGAAACAGCCCTGCCTCAGCAGGTGCTGTTGGCCGTGGCGCCTTCAGACACAGAAGCTTTGGCCCGTTGCATGCGACAGCCGGGAGTTGTTGCCGAAAATGACACCAGGCTCTGAGACAGCTGACTACACAAATGGCGTCAAGATCTCAGCCTAGTGCTGTGTCCTTCAGTTTAGGGCCACGGTCCGATCTTCTGAGATGCTTGCTACAAGACAATCTTGCCGGAATCACCATTGTGACAGATCTATGACAGGTCTCCCGCACGGATTGCAAGTTCTCAAGCACCACCCTTGAGATGTGCTGTTGCATTGATGGTGCCTGCTTGCTGCTGCGGCGGCCCTTGCCAGACCTGTCCTGGCATCATGCAGCAAGCATAGCAAGCTCAGCAGCTAGTCAGGCCAGAAAGAAATCGCGAAAGGCTGCAAAGGTGCAGCAACGTGCCGCCGCACAGCCTCCCTGATCTCAACCTCAACCTCCCATCCCCACTTGCGCATGCAACATCACAACACACCTCTGATACTGAAGCTCACAGAAACTCCTACGCGCAGCATCATCAAGAGCAGAACATTCTGCATCTTGCCAAGAGCTCCTGCTCTGCTGACCGCTTGAAGAGCAGTTGCACATTTTGCCTGATATTCAATCAGCAAGGCACAAATATGCGCAAATGCGCATTCTTTAGTTTCGACTGCATCATGAGATTCTGAAGTGATGTCGAAATACCATGCGTCTTTGTGGATGGTGAAACGGATGCAAGCTTTGGTGGTTCACTCTCCAAACCAGCAGCTAGATATCCGTGCCTTCTCGCAACGTAAAATCCGAAAATGAGTATTGGAAGTTGATGACACAAGGTCTGGCAAATCGATACAACTCGTCTTTTTTTGGCTGTCCCCTGGCGCTGAGCTGCTCGCTGATTCGTGAGATCTGAGCATGCTTCCCATCCAAGCTTGCCTGAGAACGGCAGGTGGGGAAACGATGAAAGGGCAGGGCAAGGCTCACGGCTAGTTGCCCCGAGGCAGTGTCGCGGAAGCTTGGGCTTAGGCCATTCAGTTTGATGAGTTCATCCCCGCGCTGTAAGAAATCCTCAAAGTTGTTGGTCGGAGTTTTTGGAGCGTGGCTTTGAAGCTTGCTGAGTCCCGCGTGAACTTGTACTGCAGCAACCCGTATCTATACAAAGAAGTGCACCCTCGAACTTCTCAGCTTAACCTGATTGTTACGGTCAGCATTATAGACCATAGTTGCTCCTCGCCCTTCTCGGCACGCTCCTGGAGGGCTCTGTTTCAAGCTCTGAGGTTTGCAGAGTTACCTACAGCCTATTGAGCGGGGGTCAAAATTCTTATCC